GCCCCCCCCCCCCCCCCTACACACACTTCCTCCTTCTTTGTTTTTCTACTTATTGAAAGATGTGATTTTTTCATATTTGCAGAGGCCCTTCCATAGTGAAAGCTTTGGGTTTCATAAAGGCATCAAATTATATACCAAGAATCGTACCAGCCTCACGTTATCCTCTTCAATCTCAAAGGTTTGTAAACTTCTCAAGGAAATCCTGAATTTAGTGATTCAATATCCATATATTGCTTTTGAGAGCTTGTACATCATTCTGGTCTTGTTGTACCAATAACTTTGTCCTTTTTGTTGAGGTATCTGTCATTTTTACTTGCATCTGCAAAATGGGGTTCTTGCAGTCCGATTAATCCTTTCACATTGATTTCTTTATAACTCCCTTATGTGATGATAATTGACTGGATACTGAGCTTAAAGAATTGTGTATTTTGTTTCAATTTGACTTTAGATAGTAAAACAACAGGCCAATTTTAATTTTTTGAATAATTTGATGATTTTGAGTACATGGCAGTTGTAGAGGTTAAATTGAAATGTAATGGTGTCATAACGTTACCGGGTCTCCTAAAACGGAAAGGGGTGTCATATGAATTGGGACGGAGGGCTACTGATGCATTAATCATACTAAGTGATTTCATACATTTCTTATGATGGTCGTTTGAGTGTGGTGGAGCTACTGAAACCCCTTGAATGTGTCATCTTAGTTAAGGGATGATTACTGTTTCTAGTAGTCTGAGTCTTTGTTGTTTACATTATGAAATGTTTTTTTTCTTTTGCTTCTCTTGTTACACGCCTAATATGTGATTGTAGTCGTGTCAGTTGTATCTGAATGCATATTCTCGTCATAGTTAGCTTAGTCTCTTATGATAAATCTGTAACTCAGGCTATAAGCCAGACTTCAATGTGTCAGTTATGATAAGTGTTTTCTATTGTTGACAACAAATGTGAATCAGGAGCTTACTTGTAGACTTATTTGCAACTTAATTAGGATCCTCTTTTCCCTCTCCCTGAGTTCCTCTTCTAGTTTCTTATTGAGATTTGTTTTCTTTTTGTAAAGACAGGTCTTATGTAGCTGCTGCACATGATGAGGAAGCAGCTGCCAGGGCAGCTGCTGTAAATGCTGATACTGGAGCTCCAACCATGTACTATTTTCCCATGGATAGAACGTTTTGTAGTTCTATTACTTGTTTAAGTTGAGATTGTCAGAGCTTCAAACTAATCAACGATGTTTGTATCAGTTATGCATTCTCTTTCTGGTTGTTATAGAATATATGTGTTACTTATGCTTATAGGAAATAGGAGACCTTTAATTTATTGACTACTGGAGGTAATTATTGAAGAAGAATAGTACTATAGAGTTGCCTTTTTAACTAAAACATTGAAGTCATTGGCACAAAAAAATTACAAGTCTACCATTATTTTGAACTCTGCATCTTTTTGTTGTATTGTGTTTTTCTTTTGCAATAGTTATCCTTTTTACTTGCATTTCTTAGTTCAGAAACCTCCCCGGTGTATATCTCCTCAAGAACTGGAGTGTAGATTTTGGAATCAGATGAATACCAACACATGATTTTTTTACGGCACTTAGCAGGCAGCAAAAATGAAAAAGCTGATTGCTAAAACATCTGCTATTTCTTTCCCTTGATTACTTAATAGTGGATGATAACTAAAACATGCATGTGTAAGAAGAACAGATATGTCCACTTTTGAGAATGATATGACCTACATAGTAATATGATATCCTGACTTTTGAAATAATTACTTCAATTCTCATTAAATATCATCATTCAGTTTTAACGCAAGATGTTACGTCATTTTTGGTTTCCAACTTTCCCTCTAATACGTATTATACAGCATTAACTTCGACCTTACAGAGAAACAGGAAAGATTTGAAGTTAATTGGACATTTGAATTGTTACAAGGCAACAAGTGTTTGTTGCGGCAGTAGTTTGCTTTTATGTTCCATGATTACCTTCCCTGAGAAAGAACGATTAAACTGATCTTGGTTAATTTGTAGAGCTGCTTAAGCTTTTGTTTCATACTAGTAAATTTGACGTGAACATCCACAGTTTGACTTGCATACTTTCTGTCAGACATGGTGACTGAATGATCTAGGCTCACTGCATTCTGATCAATTTGTTTGTGCATTCAGATTTGATAAAATCATTGCAAAGGAGATACCTGCATCTGTGGTATACGAGGATCAAAAGGTTCTTGCTTTTCGCGATATCAATCCTCAAGCTCCTGTTCATGTTCTAATTATCCCGAAGTCGAGGGATGGATTAACAGAGCTTGGAAAGGTGGGTCTTTTTCCCTTTATCTATTTTCTGATATTATTATCAATGTGGTATGGATTCTATGCCTAGTTTCAAGGAATACGTATCTTGACTTTTGGTATAGCACAAATCACTAGTCATACCAAAATTCGGGGTGCGGGAGTCTTTATCTAAATTGTTTGTCCCGAAGTGGAAATAGATGACCATAATATCTCCACAAGTTTATATCCCTTTGGTACTGGATTTTTCCCCTATACTTGAGATCTATATAATCTGTCGGTGAAGGCAAGCACTTATTTGGGTGTAAAAGGTGGTCATCTTGCACTGTTTTTTGCATGATTTTACGAAGTTATAGCAGTTTTATATGAAAGTGCTCGTAGCTTGACAATGATGATTACAGAATAAAGAATAGAAATATTTAGGAAAAGACTGGAATCTAGGTGCCCGTGAACAACTTTATAGATTAGCAACTTCGAAGTTGTCCCTCGAAAAAGTCAATTTTGCTGTGTTTAACCTTCTATTTCTTGTCTTTATGTTCATTTCCGTGTCAATTTCTCTGGTAATTGATACCTTGCAACTAGTTCCGTTCTGATCTATGAAGGCTGAACAAAGACATGAAGATATATTGGGCAACCTCCTTTATGCTGCCAAGATAGTAGCGGAGAAAGAAGGCATTGTAGATGGTTTTCGAGTTGTCATTAATAGTGGTCCCTCTGCATGTGAGTCTATCTCCCTTCTAATATTCCTCCACTCTCCTCCGAAAATGTGAACCTAATTGCTAACATGGGAACTTTGTATGAATAATGAATACAATGCTAATTACATCGAAAGTTTTCTTTATGCATCTTTTAGTATTTTAAAAACAGTTTGACAGTACTTAATGAAGTAACAAAGGTTTCGTCTCTTTCTTGCACAGGTCAATCTGTATACCATCTTCACTTGCACGTACTTGGCGGCAGACAGCTGAAATGGCCCCCGGGTTAGAATCAAGCTTGGTTGCGAGCAAGTTTTCCAATCTCTCCATTGATGTAACATGACATGTGAACCGATGTTCAACATCTGAGCATGCAATAAGTACTATTGTTAGATGTGATTCAAGTATATTTGGTGAATGACTACAGATACTTTTCTTCATTGCAGTAACCGACTAACCGTGTATGTTCTTGATCAACGTTTTATCTGCATTTGCATGAATGCTGTGAAGTACTTCAACTGTTTCCTTCTCAAGAATGCCCTTAATTGCTTCTGTTGGTATTTATCTATATAGGTACTATGCTGAACACCTATTCTGCATGATTTATTAGTCCAAAGCTCTTTCTTGGAGTAGCTAGCCATTTGGTTTCTCCCTATTGACTACAAGTCTACAACCATCAAAATTGATGTATCAAACACTGAATTCCCCCGACAGCTATAAACATTAGGTGATTTCTTCTCATTTGTCTAGGTTTTGGTCGACAGAGTTACCCTGACAGCTTAAGCAGAGTTATTCGATACTGTGTTGATAGGAGATAGCAGGTGCATAATTTGGTTCTGATAAAAAAAACATGCTGAACTCCCAAAATTGAATACCATTGTGAGATTAATGTCAGATTTAAGCCAATTTGCAGCAGGCATTGTTGAAAGATCATATGAATAAAAATATATTCAAGCTAAGGCATTGATATCTCTATAATTACTGTGGTATAATTTACACTGATTAACAGTACAATCCTTGACTTGTTTGTGCAGGATACAACAACCCAATAATGTTTATAACTCTAACAACTGCGAATTAGTTGAATAGTTTAAAGCTCCACCAAAAGAACATCTTTTTTTAATATACAATTACTACTATCTTTTGTATAGTAATTAAATTGGAAATTTAGAATATTTTTCTTTGTCTAGACTCTTTCTTTCACTACACTAACCTCAAAATATAAACTCCACTTCTCATCTTTTTCATTATTTCTGTATCACAACACAAAGAAGAAAATATCCTTTATATAGGTGGAGAATTTCTTCTACAAATAAATGTCAAGAGTGTGGATAGTCGTTTGAGAAGTAATGAACAATTAGTAGGAGATAATAAGGACAACCTGTCATTATGATCGCATGAATTATAAAGAGAATTACTACTGTCAACACCAAATATGTATGTTTTTGTAATTTATATCTTATTTTATTATTTTTAAAGATTTGCAATTTTATCTCTTTATTTCCTTGAAAATTAATAAAAAAAATTATGTTTTAAAATTATTCATGAGGGAAAAAGTAGGAATAAATAAATAAATAGTAATTTGAAATGAAAATTCAGTAAACATCTCCCTCTCCTTGAGTTTGCCACCTTTGTTGAAATGAAAACCAATAAACAACTCCCTCTCCATAAGCTGCCTTTGTTAAAAGCTCAAACTTTTGAAGTTTAAAAATTTGATTTTTGCAAAATATTTCAGATTTATACATCTAAAAATTGTAAGCAATTTTAACATGTGTTTTAGTCGTGATTAAAATTTGGATATATACATGAAAAAGTAAATAAAAGAATATTAAATAGATTTGTAATTGTTTTAACAAATTGATCATTAAAGTTTATTTTTCTAAATTATATATATAGAAATTTTATTTCAAATTTGAGCTTATTAGAAATAGACTTTAGTATTGAATTTTTGAAATTTACATTATTTTTTGACAAAATAAATTAAGACACACAAACCTGAAATTTAAGATAAATTTTATATTTAATTTGGATTTTCGACCTCAATATGAATTAATTTCAAAAGTGAAAATTTTATCAAAAAAATTATATTACAAACATTAGTTAAATAATTTTTGGCAATTATTATCCCAATTCTATTTGGTTTTAAGTTATAAACAAACCCTATAAATATTAATTAATTTTTCCAAATCTTGAAGCAATATTGCACATGGTTTCACCACCATAAATTTTGGGGAACAATCCATGAATCCAAGACCCAAACTCCGATCACCGCCACCGTCCTCCGTCGTCATCTCCCCGGCGTCGCCACCCAAATCCCTAATCAACAAAATGCCCAGAAAATTTACCAGATCAACTCTTACACTGGCCACTACTTTGTTCTCAATCTTAGCTTTGTATGCTTTCTTCAACACATTCATCTTCTCAGACCCACCAAACAATGTCTCCAGTGTTAGTTTCAGCAGGAATTACAATACCCAGAATTTCAAATCTGTGAAAGTTTACATGTATGATCTGCCTAGAAAGTTTACGTATGGGGTTATTGAGAGCTATGCGTTGGCAAGAGGTGGAGAGAAGCAGAGTGATGATTCGTTGCTTAAGTATCCTGGGAATCAGCATTCTGCTGAGTGGTATTTGTTTTCTGACCTGAATCGGCCGAGTTTAGAACGGGTCGGGTCGGCTGTGACTCGGGTTATGAACCCGGAGGAAGCTGACCTTTTCTATGTGCCTTTCTTCTCGTCGTTGAGCCTTGTGGCGAATCCGATTAGATCCAATAATGCTGTTGTTGCACCTGTGGAGAGGCCGGCTTATAGCGATGAGGAAACGCAGGTAAGAATCACTATTTGTTGGATTATTTTCTTCATGATTCATGTTTCTGGAATTGCATTGTGTTGCTTTTTGAGTTAAAGTTTTCGTCTTTATTGTTCTAGGTTGCTTCTATAAGTCTATACTTGTTAATTTAGTTACACTAGTTATAATTGGTGAATTGTGTTTTAAATGATCTATCACAATTCTAGAGGACTCCCTTTATTAGCTCAACAGCTTGTTGCTTAGATTTTCTGGTTGAGCTTCTAGACATGTCCACATTGATTAATACACATTGGAGCGTAGAATTATTTGATACCTGTGTTGGCCAGTAGAACTATGTGATACCTGAGGTGGCTGCTACTCGATTATTAGTTGAGGTGCACATAAGTTGGGTTGGACAACATTGTAATCAGAAAAAGAAAACTAAAGAAAGAGGATGATGGTCGTCTCATGCTTGTTAGATCTAGAAGTGGCTTTGTTTCTGTGTATACGTGTATACATTTGTGTTTCGGAATTAAATTCCATAGAAATGGCATATGATTGCATTGTGCATGTTGCAGGAGTCTTTAATTGAATGGTTGGAGCAGCAGGAGTACTGGAAAAGGAACAATGGTTGGGATCACGTGTTTATATGCCAGGATCCTAATGCCTTATACAAGGTTGTGGATAAGGTGAAGAATGGAGTGCTGTTAGTTTCTGATTTTGGAAGGCTGGCTCGTAATCAGGCATCTCTTGTTAAGGATGTCATCTTGCCCTACTCACATCGGATTAACACATACACTGGGGATATTGGCGTTGAAAATCGGAATTCCTTGCTCTTCTTCATGGGCAATCGATATAGAAAGGAGGTAATTGGTGGGAAAAGTTTCATAATTTGGTATTTGATCATCTTGTTTCTGATATAGGATTCATTTTCACTGGTACTGTCTTATTTCTTCTGGATGTGCTGATTAGAAGAAAAGATGCATTTTTAATAGATATAAGTATATAACTGTTATCTAGCCAGTGTAAAGTCTAGAAAGCAACAACACTTTAAGGAACTAAGTTACCCTGAGTAAGACATCCTTCATTTCCATATCCACAATTGCTAATCATAGGAACAAATTCAGAATTTCATTCTTTTTTTTAATAAGAAACATATACATTTGCTGCGAGTAGAGTGCCAACAATCCTCATCTCAATAGCCATCTTTTGGGGTTGAATTAGGCCCAAGTTCTATTTTCTTTACAAGATTAACTTTCTTCCCTTAAGATACTACCTCATTTGCAGAAAATGGTCCCACTTAGTTTCTTCTGTTAAGATACTATGATGAATTGGTATCACTATACTTATCAGCAAAAATAGAAAAGACAAATGGTATCACTCTATAGTTTTATTTGCATGTTATGTGTGTTTCCCTGCACTCAATGTACATCACAGTTTCATAGTTATTTACATAAAGCTTGTTTGCTAATGTGTCAGGGAGGAAAGATTCGTGATTTGCTTTTTCAATTGCTTGAGAAAGAAGAAGACGTCATCATAAAACATGGTGCACAATCTAGGGAGAGCCGTCGTGAGGCAAGAAAAGGGATGCACACTTCAAAATTTTGTCTGCATCCAGCTGGTGATACTCCATCAGCTTGCCGCCTTTTTGATGCTATTGTGAGCTTGTGTGTCCCTGTAATCATCAGTGATCACATTGAATTGCCATTTGAGGATGTTGTGGACTACAGGAAAATTGCAATTTTTGTAGACTCTAACACAGCTGTGAAGCCGGGGTTCTTGGTTAAAAAGCTCAGGAAAGTAAGCATGGAGAGAGTTTTGGAATACCAACGGGAGCTGAAAAAGGTATTTACTAGTACATAATTCTTGTTCCTGCATCCTATTATAACCAGAAATAAATTTGCAAATTGGAGTTATTACATACATTGCACACTTTGTACATAAATAAGCATGTGAGGTTCTTTTTCTGTTTTTCCCCCTCATGTCTTTGATTGAGGAATGGTAAAATCTATAGATATACTGACTCACTCTAAGAGGTGTGTGTGTGTGTTCCCTTTTTCCTTTCTCAAAGAGTTACTATCTTGTTCAAAGATGTCTAATAGGAGACATGACAAATGCATCAAGGTTTAGAAGGATCTGCAAGATTTTTGACAGTCAACAAAGAAACAAATGAGCAAGGATCGATGAATGTTTCTTATGTTCCATTGTCTAAAAAGATATTCTCTATCTGTTGGATCAATGAAATCTTTGATATTGCGATTTCTGCTTCTTGTCTCTTCTATGGAAACCTCCTTAGAGTTAAGCTGAAGCTGTTCAATTTCATTTGAAGAAGAATGTGTATTACAAGAAATTGTTTTTTCAGCTGCGTCCTCTTCTGTGTTTTTCGAGAAGAAGTTCAGTTATCTCATATCTGCTGAATCACTCACCAAAAGAATATTGTTTATTTTAGAAATTTAGATTAGCTCTCTAGGTACTTGACTCATTTAATTGCTAGCAAAGGCGGATGATCTCTTATCCAGCTAATTCTAGTGCTTTAGGCCAGCTATTTAGTCATGAAGTGGATAAAACGTATTATGATCTGTTCCAGATAGGTTACTGTGTAGCTTGTTCTTACATGTTATCTTTCCTAAATTTACTTCAAGTGTCTCATGTTTTAGTTAATGTGGACTCTTTAACATCTAATCAAACATAAAGAAACCCTTTGATTTTGCATGTTTGGACCTTTATGTTTTCTAGAACAAAGTGTTTAACATATGTACTCTTGATTTGTGGTATCTTCAGGTGAAGCATTACTATGAATATGAGGACCCAAATGGAACAGTAAAAGAAATTTGGCGACAGGTCTCTTTGAAGTTGCCGCTTGTTAGGTTAATGATCAATCGTGACAAACGTCTTGTGAAAAGAGAGTTGCCTGAACCAGATTGCTCTTGTCTCTGTTCAAACCAGACAGGAATCTTGACGACATTATGATCCAGACTGGTGACATTTTCTCAGTCACCATCCACTTTGAGCATTTGTGGATCACCCTTAGAGTACCTGACTCTCGGGGAATAAGATGGTAGATCAAGAGGCTTGTACTATTGTAACTTATATCTGGGATGGTATGGTTGCTATCTGCATTCATTGATTAATATCCCTGCTAACAAGTAGAAAATCCAGTTTACGCTAAAATAAGGATCGGTCTAGTACAGTTTGATACATACATAGTATTACTTATTCATTTCACACTTCCTGGATGCATGCATTTTGAGAATTGCAGTGACTAGAAGCAATTCTTTATGTGTATTTATAATGTTGTACATCATGATATATGAAATCACAGCTAATATGAAGGCTTTTGTCTCAAAATGTCTGATCTTTCATCTCTTTCTTCTGTAATTTTCTTTTGCCAAAGTTCCTTTAATTTCAACATGAGTTCCACAAAAAAAAATCTGTTAATAAATTTCACTATATGTACTTGTGATATTTGACTATATGTAAATTTCACTATATGTACTTGTGATATTTGACTTAAGCACATTTTGTTAGGATCAAACGCTTACCATTATGCCAAAAGCTATAGCTGATAGCAAAGGCGCAACATTATTTCTTATCTAAGTCCACCAAGCAAGCGTCATGTTCGATCATGACTCTGACCTGAGCCACTCAACCCCTCGTTGGCCTTGCCATAGGTAGGATGTTGACAATACTCAACAATCCCCCTCCCAACACTTGCCTCATGCAAAATGTTGCTCTTGGGAAGCGAACCCACGACCTTGGCTCTGATGCCACTTGTTAGGTTCAAGTGCTTACCATTATGCCAAAAGCTATAACTGATAAGGCGCAACATTATTTCTTAACTAAGTCCACCAAGCAAGCGTCATGTTCGATCATGACTCCGACCCGAGCCACCCAGCCCCTCGTTGGCCTTGTCATAGGCAGGATGTTGACATTACTCAACACATTTAATCTTTTAAGTATTTGAGATGTGTTGTTTTAACTCTTTGCTTGTGAATATTCACAAAATTTTAGAATGATTAATCAACCCACTTTTTAATTACACATGTGACATGTGTTACTAATTAAGCTTGTATTGTTACTCTATATTTTAAGGTAATATACTTTTGTTGTTTTTCAAATGCCATTTGTGAGATTATATTAATTATGTTGTTGTTATACTTCTAAATAGTTCAGATATAATAAATTTGAAAAAGCTATATAACTAAGCAAACATAACTACTATATATACATAGACTTTCAAAAAATTATATAATAAAACTATTGGGATTTTATAGAAAATCTCTCATATCTTCCTTTCTTGCCGCCACCCTCTTCTGTCTCTCCCTTTCTCCCTCTCTCACTTTTCTCTCTCCTCTTACGTTCTCTTCTTACCCACTCTCTTTCCCTTTCCGCAATTCATTGCATGGACCTTTCTTCTTTTCTTCTCTGTTTCTTATATCAATACGAAATTATATTAAAGTTTTACCTGAATTATTTTTATCTATACCAGTAGGTCTTGGTCTTCAATATTTTTGGGTGGTTGTGGATTATTGATTCATTTTTATTGGATTAACGCTGATATATCAAAAAAATTCATTTCGAGTTCTTGATTTGTTGTTCAATCATCAATGTATGAGTTTTCTCTTCTTCCTAGATTTATACAATCAATGGTATCTACGTATCACAAAAAAAATTATGTGTATAAGAAAAACTGATGCACCTATTCTCAAGTTGTTTCTCTTTTTTTATTGATACAACGAATTGTATTTATTTATCAGAAAAGAAACTTATACAACTATTATCATAAAAAAATTTGGGTCTGTATAGTTATTTTAAGGGTGATAAAATATAAAATATTGTATCCATGTTTTTTCATTTGTGTATCACAAAATTGATACAAACTATATCTGTGAATTTATTTTAGGGATGATACAATATGCTATGTTTCAATTTCAAAGCTAGTATATCTATTTGTGGGCGAGATTAGGAGAGAGATTCGAGAGAGAAGAGATTATGAATCTGTGATATGTGTATTCAATTTTAATTGAGATTGACGTAGCCTGCCTCTCTCTTCTCTAAAACTCTTGCTATGATTTGTATTCAAATAAACTATAATTACTTTCATAATTATGATTCAAACTATAGGGATATATAAAATTTCCTCAATAAATTTCCTACATAGAAGAACCAATAGTACATATATTTAAAATAATTAAAAATTAAATGTATCACAAGTATGAAAATCAAAATTTTATTTTGCAACTATGGGACCAAAAGTGGTATTATCTCAAAGTGCAAAGGTATGAAGAAAGAAGCTATCATTGTTTTTTGGGATATGGGTATGAAAAATACCCCAACTTTGGTCGGATTTGTTGTTGCGATACTAAACTTTCATGAGAATCTATTACCTCCCTAGACTATTTAATACCGTATTTTTTACCCCCTGAACTATTTAATAGTGTATTTTTAAGGTATATATGTGCCCACGTGGACACATTACTATTTATAATTTTGCATTATTTTTTATGTCCACGTGG